CCTCCTGCACACCCCACACAGGGGATCGAGCCCAAAATGCGGGCATGTGCCCTGACTGGGAATCAAACCAAGACCTCCTGGTTCATAGGTCGACGTTCAACCACTGAGCCACACCAGCCGGGCTGTTGTCATTTTTTTTATTTGACAATCTAAGGGAAAAGTGGCCAGTGGCCCTGACTAAATAGGTATTGCATATTTTAAAGATTCTTGAAATCGTTGGTCTAAATTATTAAATTTGATCCATATGGTAACTTGTGAAGCAGGTGCTGTTACCCTATTTCAGAAGGGGAAACCGAGGCTCCCAGAGGAAGGTAACTGGCACAGATGACAGGGTGAGCACTGAGGGGAGAAGGGGCTCTGCTTCTAACAAGTGAAAGGGGATGTGTAGGAACCTAAAGAGAAAAGAAAGACTGAACGGAAAGAGCAAGGCTTCACTGGCACCAAAACACTGGCAGAGCCACAGCTGGCCCTGGGGACTGGCCTGGAAGTCGTTTTGACCAGATTTTAGGATGGGGAAGATGTCAGGAGAGCCCTCAGCCCTTCTTCCCACTGAGCCAAGATGCTCAGTGCCTGCTCAGAGTGCCCCCTGCTGTCAGATGGAGGCACTGAGGTAAGACAGCCTTGGAACAGAAGCTGAAAGAGGGAGTGGAGCCGATTCTGTTCCCACGGACAACGAGCAAGTCTCCAGCCAGGTAGTTCCGCGGACTCTGGGCTGGAGCTCTGGCTCACATTTTGGGCACAGAGGAGGGGGTCCAGGATGAGGAGCTCTCTAGAAGCCATGCCCTGGGAGAAACTGTTGAAGAAAGAAGGTTAGCGGGCGCTCAACTCTGAAGGGCCATCCTGGAGGATGCAGAGCAGGCATAAAGGTCTTGGGGACAGAGCAAGGCCCACGGGTGGTGATTCAGAAGGGCAGACAATTCAATATGAAAACTTCACAATGGATGACTGAAGACAAACGAGCTGCCGCTAAGAACAGGCAGAGCCCCCTCTGTGGAAGGGACTGGACCGACAATTTTAGGAACCATGAGAAAGACGCATGTTGCCCCCCTCAAGGGTGGGCACCTGTCCTTAGCCCTGGGAGCATCTCTGTGCTCCAGGGCATCACTGCTTCCCTAACCTTGAGATGCTGTTGACTCCTGTCCAACTTCTCTCAAGAGAGTGCTGATAGTTTTGTTTTTATTTTTACAACTGCGGAAAAATAACTGTGATTTATGTTTTCCCACTTATGTAGCTGACTCATGTTTCTTTTACAGTTCCAGCATGTTTTCAGCAGCTACAAAATTTTCCTCCGGGGAATTAAGAAAGGTATATGCCCTAAGACACACTGTGCCAACAAGAGAGGATCATATATCAAGGAGATGGTCAGTTAGTACCTTCCTATCCTGACCGTCCATGAGGTGCTGGGCCTGGATTCAACCTGGCATCCATGCAGGGGCACAGCAAGTTCCAAGAGCCCTCAACCTGCTGCTCTCCTGGGCCCAGAAGCAATGCCCTCCTCATTTAGAACACCTGCCTTACCAACACCTCTATAACCCCAAGGTTAGTCCTTGGACCAAGATGCCCACTTTGTCTGTCTGGAGATCCTGACTGATCCAAGGGGAGTTTAGAAAAGAAAGAGGTGGGGGATGGATGGGATGCCATCCCCTAACCAACCACAGCTAGACCTCCCTCAGGCTTCTAAACAGTAACAAGGCCTTAGGGCAGAAGACATTTAGGTGCCATGACCCCTGATCCCAAGCTTAAAGGGCAGAGCCTGCCTCTAGAGCAGTGGTTCTCAACCTTCCTAATGCCGCGACACTTTAATACAGTTCCTCATGTTGTGGTGACCCCCAATTTCATTGTTACAAATTGAACATAATTAAAGCATAGTGATTAATCACAAAACAATATGTAATTATATATGTGTTTTCCGATGGCCTTAGGCGACCCCTGTGAAAGGGTCGTTCGACCCCCAAAGGGGTCGCAACCCACAGGTTAAAAACCGCTGCTCTAGGGTCACCTGCCTCTGCAGGGCCGGAGGGAGCTCATTTCTGCCTCCCTTTGAAGCCAGAAGTGACTTCCCTGAATGGTTTCAATCCTGATTCCTGGGCAACAATGGATGAGGGAGGGGCCTGCCCTTTATGGATTCCTGGAAAGGGGATGCCCAGTTGTCACAGCCAGGAGACAATGTGGGCTGCCCACTGCTCCGCGTGCATGGCAAAGTCTGCTCCACCCCATTCACCCCAGAGAAAGGGTTTTCTTAAGACCATTAGGGTTCTGGTTGGGCGGGGAGGTGATGACAGTAACCTCAGGAGATGCTGCGAGGCTTTTCTGAGTGAACACTTCCAAGCCTGTGGCCGTCCCAGGCTCAGGTGCCAAGTCCTGCTGAGAGGTGTCCTGGGTCCTCTGGGACTGCAGGGGAGGCCCAGGGCCAGAGGAAAGGGAAAGAGGGAGGAAGGGAAGGAGAGACAAGAGGGAGAGAGAAAGCAGGAGAGACATACACACAGAGTCCATAAATAGCCCCGCTTTGTAAATACCACATCTTTAGGTTTCATAGATTAGGTCAGGAAGGAGCCGCACCGCTGTGGGGCGGGACAGAAAGGAACTGCCCCTCCAAGCCATTCAGGGAGGGAGGCCCATGGTCAGCTGCCAGCCAGCACCGTGGCTTTGGGCCTTCCCTCATCACCTGCTCATTCTCATTCAAGAGGTTCTGGAGCCTTATCACTTGCACACGGTTCCAAGTCTTCTCAGGGTGTCTTTGCTTTAGACGATGGTTCAAGCCTGTAGTCTGGGTCTCAGCCCCTTTTAGAACGTTATCTTTGAGATGAAAACCTAGGCTTGGCAAATCGGAACTCTTCTTTATAGTTTGGGGTCCCTATTTTGGTTTATGCTCCTACCGTTTTGCCCTGGTCCCAGATGAGGCCCAACAATACATGAGGAAGCTACTAGGAACTATGGATGAAACACCCTGCAGGTCTCCCCTGCAAAGTCCATGTTTGATCAGGAATTCTAATTGTCAGCAATGCCCGTTGACTGTCCCACTGTCCAGTTTATAAAGTATGTTTATATCCATTATTTTGCTCAACCTTCCCAATAACCCAACCCTATAGCAATCTTAGTTCCCTCTAGATGGACTGACTAGCCAGTGAGGCTCAGAGAGGTGAGGTTATTTGCCCAAGGAGTCAGACCGGTCCTTAGCTAAGGCTCCTCCCCATCCCCCAAATCTTTAAAGGCCTCTAAATGCTCCAAGGTGAGCTCCTGGACCAGACTTCTTTCCTGCAGTGGGAAGACAGGAGAGGAACAGACTCCGCCTTTTAATGATCCCATTCTAACAGTTCCAGCTGTCACCAGCAGATGGGGCACCCCCAAGCCAGGCTGCTCTGAGGCCACCCCAAAGCTCCAGGAGCCCAGCTCTCCAGGGCTCATCCTGCCTCTCTCTGCTGGAGTCTGACTGTGTCGGAAGGCCCTCATCCCACTCTACCCACTTCAGGACTGAAGAGAGTCCACTCTGGTCAAGGGTCTCAGGGCAGGAGCAGGGCAGGTAACTAGATCACTAGACCAGCCCCCAGGCCCAGTTCAGCGTCTTCAGGGTCTTGATTATGTCGAAGGTGACCACAGAAACCTTCAGTGGATGCAGAGATTTGCCCTCCTTCCATGGCATCAGCCTTAAAAGCCCCCAAATCATCCCTAACTTTGCGAATCACCAGCCAGGGAGCCATCTCAGCAGCCTCACTGGACGAGGCCCTCTGTTAGCTGGGATGGCAAGGCCGTGGGGAGTGCTGAGTCAATAGAATGCTCTGCTTATTAGATCATGGCTGCATCAACCAATTGTCAAAGCATTAGAGGGCATCACACACACAATTGACTCTATGTCTGGTCTTCACATAATTTGGTCTTGCTTCTAGGCAGTTGTGATTTAATAGCAAATACAGTGCCTGGGACACAAGAAAATCAGATTCTGGCTCCTCTTCTATCAACTATGACACTAAAAAAGTCCTTCCCCTTCTGGGCCTCAGGGCCCCATCTGTGACATGATGACCTTGAACCAAGCAGGTTCTGAGGACCCTTCCAACTTTAAAAGGGATCCTGACTCCAAGTTAACCTTCTGTGTGAGTCCCAGGTCTCTCAAAATGAAACAATAAGTAACTCATATTGAGCCTCTGGGTCTCTGCTTGGCCCCTCCATGCTTTATCTCATTTGATCCTTACAACATTCCTAAGAAGTAGATGCTTTATTACCTCTACTGAATGGAGGCTCAGAGAGGTTACGTCACAAGCACAGGGGCATCCAGCTAGCAGGCAGCAGAGCCAGAGTTCAAACCCAGGTGGTATAAGTCTAGATCCCAGTTGGGTTTGAGCCCAGTAAGCAGCAGCACTAGGGTATAAAAACCCAACTATAGACGGAGGCAAACACTTCCAAGATTTAGCAGCGCTAATAATAACGTTGGGATTATCAACACAAGAATTCTCGAGATCCGTCTTTCTCTTTTTCAATTGCTTTCCACTCTGAAAGGCACAGGAGCAGCTGGTTTCCCTCTAGTGGGCTCTGAGGGTCCTTCCCGGAGGGAACACTTCCGGATCTGTGTTTTCACAATAGGCTCAAAAGGGTCTGGTTACTAGAAGAACTCCCCTGATTCTTAGAGTTCAGTGTGCATGAGAATCGCCCGGGGCACTTGTTTCAGATGCTGATTCCAGGGCTCTGCCTCCAATATTCTCATTCAGGAGGTCTGATGTGGAGTCCAGAATATGCATTTCTAACAAGTACCCCTTCTTCCCCATTATACTCTGGCTGATGGAAGGGGAACACACCAAGCCACTTTGAGTTTCCCAGGGTAGTCCCTGGGGCCCCAGATTCCAAGATTTAGTGACTTTGTCTTCCTCAGCTTCACTCACCACCCCAACCCCATCATCACTGCACACAGGGACAGGGAGGAGCATAGCTGTGGGGGTGACAGTGAGTCAGCACACTTCCCCACCCTCTTTACCCAACGCCCCCGTTGAGGGGTTCAGGGTGAGACTTACCTCGCTGGCTTTCTCAGGGGTGCCTTTGGGGGAGGGGGAGGCGGGCGAGGAGGGCAGCCTGCGTTCCCGTTCCCAGTCTCGATCCCGGTGGATCAGTTTGCTGTTGGGTTCCTTCAGGGTCCTCTTGAGCTCGTTGATGCTGGCCTGGTGCTTCAGCAAGACATCCTCTGGCTTGTCTAAGAACTAGGGTGATGGAGAGGACAGCCAGGCATTAGCGGAGCAGCTCCGAGATGGGATACTGGGTGTGGTGAAAATGGCAACAGTGACCATTGCTGCCCTCTATCAGCAAGGTGATTCCCATCCATGACCTGTGTCACTCTCCAGCGCCTCATGAACCAGGCAGGGCAGGGATGTTAGCCCAACAGGTGCACAAAGCACTTGAGATTAAAAAGAGGAGAATTCTGCCCTGGCTGGTATTGCTCAGTTGGTTGGAGCTTCATCCCATACACTGAAAGGTGATGGGTTTGATTCCCGATCATGGCACATATCCACATTGTGGGTTCAGTCCTCAGTCAGGGCACTTACAGGAGGCAACTGATCAATGTTTCTCTCACATTGATGCTTCTCTCTCTTTCTCCCATCCCTCCCCCGCCCCTTCTCTAAAAGACATCTCTAGGAGAGAGAGAGATGTCTCTAAAAGACATCTAGAAGAGCGAGAAAGAGGAGAGACTTCTGGTCAAGCACAACCTTTTCCACTTCCCTGCCTGGCTCCTGGTCTTAGAGCCCAAACCCATGCAAATCCCACTGGTCTGGGTGAGTTCCCTTTGGTGCCGTGAGCCTAGTCTAAGTCACAACCGAGGTACAGTGAGAACTTGCCAACCCTGTTCACTTGGCGGCTCTGACCGCCTCCTTGGCCTCCCAGATCCTGGTCCCCACCTCTGACCAAGACTTGGACCACTGTGCTTAGCAGGATCCCTGGTCTAGGCCGCTCCTGGCCCAACATATGCAGTAAATCAGGCCCTGTGGGGCCCTTCTAAAGCCAGGGACATCCATTAAAATGGGCTCTGTTCCCACACCAAGGACCAGGGACCCAGGGACCAGGAAAAGATTGTGTTCAGTATTCTCTGCTGGCAGCCTCTACCTTTCCCAATCACCCAGAATCTTCCAGATACCTGTGGGTATTGATTCCTCAACAGCAGACAGGGTGAGATACAGCCAGAGAGGAGTGTTCAGGAGGATCAGGAGAATTAGAGCCCAGGAAGAAGATAGGTAAGTCCAAGGCTGGACACAAGAACTGAGCCAGGTATAGCCAGAGTCATAGTTGAGTCCCACATTGTACTGCCAAGTCTGAGCTCTGGCCAGTGCATCATGACAGAGTAACCTGCCCCTAGGTCACATGAGGTGCAGCCTTTGCACATGAGATGGCAGTGACCTGCCCAAGCTGCCTGTCTGTGTACTTCTGGGGGCAGGGCAGTAGGCTGGTGGTCCAAGGACCCTTACCTGCAAGGCCATTTGAGGGTTCATGTCAACTCAATTCAGGGCAAGAAATGGACAATCTCAGCTTATTATAAAGTCAGATCAGGAGATTCTAGAACTACCTGGAAGGTAAGCTTGTCCTTGAACAAGCTAGACTCTTCCCCTGGGATTCTCTCTGGCATCCGAGGATCCTCTATGATTGACTCCTAGGTGACCTCAGAAAGGAAACCGATGCTACTGAGGCTTCTGCTTTGCCTCCAAACATCTGTCTGTACCTCTTTTCCTGAGCTGAGCTGCCTCAGGACCGTGTCTGTCTGAGAAATCAAACCTGATAGAGTTTGATGGATTGGGGCTGCAATAGACCCAAGATGTGTCTTGTGACCTTCTGTCCTGTACCTGCCCCTCTGGCTCAGTGGGCATGTAGTGTTCCTGACAGCTAGAGGGAGCGGTGGAACCCCAAGATCCTTGAAAGGCCTTAGGGAAACCTAGTCTAATGCCTTACTGTGCAGGTGGGGAGCTGGGGCCTAAGGGGATATCCCCAAGACCTCAAAGAGTCAGTGGCAGAACTGGGGCTAAAATCCAGACCATGGGACTACAAGGCCAGGCCCTTCTTACATCTCAGCCTCTGGGCCTTCCCCTCGGGCCCAAGAATAAATCCACTTCTCTTGCAGTGAAAGTTCAAATGAAGAGATGGAGACTGTGTGAAAGGGAAGAAGTGGTTAACAGATAATAGGGTGAGGGTGAGGAGAGAGAGGAGGAGAAAAGGAGAGGAGGCTTTCCTGACGCTGGAGAAGCAGATCCCAGCCAGAGGGAGGGGCAATGGAATCTGAGAAGATACAGATGTGCTCTGAGGCTCCTCCCTCCCAACCCTCCCACCCACATTTGGTTGCCAATAGATACAAAAAAAAAAAAAAGAAAGAAAAGCAAAAGAGATGAGCTCAATAAAAGCATGGAATGCCTGGAAGAGCTGAGGAACACAAGTGGGATAGTCAGCAGGGACGGGGAGCGAGCATGGGTGGTCTGGGGAGGCAGAGTGTGAAGCTGGACAGAGAAGAGGGGAATGAAGGACGGAAACACTGCTAGGGGATGGAGTCTGAGCAGGATGCTGAAGGGATGAACTTAACAAGGGGAGCTGAGGGGGCCTGGGTTGGGGGTGGGACTAGGGGGAGCATAGGGGGAGGAGGATGGCCAGGGAGCAGAGGTGAAGCTAACGCTGAGATGGCACCAGGATATCAGCCTGGGATGAACTGTGGAATGGTGACAAATGAACTGGGTAGGTAGGGACAGGTCCCATGCAGTACCTCCTGCTTGTGTCTCGGCGTGGTTTCCTGCTCCGGCTAGCAGACAGGGGGAGGAGGGAAAGCAACCAGCAGGGTCAGTAGAGCCAATGGATTAGAGACACCACGACCAGCCCAGTCCAGCAGGTAGCCCAGAGCGCTCTCACCCAAGCAACAGAGGTCAGGGAAGCTGGGTGGCCCACGGGAAGGGGCGGGGCAGTGAGTAGTCGGAAGGGGTGGAGTGTGAAGCAGGGAGTTGGCCCAGGGAGGTGATGAAGGGGGCGGGAGGACTGGAGGCAAAGTGAGCAGTTACACTCAGCAGATGGAAGTGAGGGTTCTGGGTAGTCCTGCTTCTTGCAGTCAGCATATGTGTTCAGGGACCTGTGCTCCCAAGTGGGACTGCATGTTGGAAACACACTATACCCATGTGTATACATGCCCATGTGCATGTTGTTTAAAAATCTGGATACGTAACCCTGTGGGAGAGGGGTGTATCTCCGTGAGTGAATGCATGCAAGTCTGGGGCCAAGTGTTCCTGCAGGAGTGTGTGCACAGGTATATGAGAAATGGGGGTGGACAAGAAGAGGGGGACACACTGTGAGGGCCTGCAGAAACACCCCAGCATGCTCTGGGGGAAAAGAGGCCTGTGCAGATCCAAGGGGCAAATTCAGAGTGGGCAAGAGGAGGCCAGAGCCCCTAGGGTACAGAATGCCCTCTGGGAAAGCAAGGCAAAAGGAGGGGAGGGTGTATGGCGAGCAGCATGTCCCCCACACCTGGGCATGTGCAGGTATTGAGCATGGCCCAAGGGCAAGGCTCTGAGCTTGGTGTACCCCATAGCAAGGGTGCTCAGCCACACACAGCTGGGGGCACCTGAAGGCCAAGGCTAAAGACAGGATCAGCCACCTGATCCCCAGATCAGTAGGTATAAGAAAGTCAGACTCCTACCTTCATCTCCTTGATCTTGGTGGGGGTCCTGACCTCTCCCTCCTCGGCCTCTGACTGCCGCCCCCCAGACTCGCCGTCTTCCTCCCGTTTGTCACCATCAGGTCCTGCGTCGTGGTTCTCACTGACCGAGGCTGGGCGGGAGAACTCCGCTGAAGTGGGCAGAAACAGCCGGGCAGCCACGTGAGACATCTCCCAGGTGCACGGACAGGGAGTCGGCCTTGCCACTTGCCCAACCATGCTTAGAGCGGAGCAGACACTTCCACACCCCAGCACATTGGGAATAAGAAACCAGTGCCCAACTGGGCTGAAGCAGCCTTCCCCAGGTCACGTGGACTGCCTGCCAGTCCCTTCCTGATCTCTATAGTACTAGAGCCCAGGTTCAAATCTCAAATCTCTCTCTCCTTAGCTGTGTGACCTTGGGTAAGTTATACAACCTCTCTGGGCCTCCGTTTTCTCATCTATAAACAGTACCTACTTCAGACAACTGGGGGAGGAACAAATAAGCTCATGTGTAGAAGTATCTAGAAGAGTGGCTGCCACAGAGTGAGCCAATTCAGTCAATGTTGGCCCACAGATGTTGATTTTCTTGTTGTGGCATTTGTGGCAGAATGCTCACTTGACCATTATCTAACAATACACAGATATTGTGAGATTAGCTTTTACTAGTGAAAGCTAAAGTCCTGAGGTTTGCAAATAATGTAGCTTCCTTATAACGCAAGGAAAATTCAAGGGAACCCTTACAGTAACATCTTTCTCACTTTGCTGGCATTCCAAGTACTTTCCTGAACAGGAGAGAAAAGGGTAGAATTACACCCTTTACTCCAGACACTGGGCATAACTCAGACTATGCCCATGGATTATGTCTTGGGGGGAAGAAAATGGCTGGAAAACAGTGAATGACCGGAGCACAGATCATCCTTGGAATTGGCCTAGATTAAAAAGGAGAGAATTATCCTGTCTATTTATATATATTTACTCTGCAAAGTGCCCATTCATGCACATTATTTCATTGGAGCCCACAGTGCTCTGTGTTGATGACTGGAATGGGAATTATTATCCTCATTTTACAGAGACTCTGAGATCTTTCAGTGAATCAGGAGGAGAACCCAGGCCTACTGGCTTCGAGTCCAGGCTTCCGGCCCCCTCTTGATGAGCATCGTCAAATCTGGGCCAATCTTTGCTGCCTTGCACAATCTGGGCTTCATTTTGCCCCTGGCATAGTAATGAAAGCTGCAGGGGAGGACAGAGAGACAGTATGGGCCCTCCTTTCTTTTTGCATAAAACTTCGCTCTCAGTCCTGTGCTCATTCAAGAATAAGGAGCTTCCTCAGTTCCAAATGGACCTTTGCAAAACTGCATGTCCTTCAAAAATGGCCGGGGAGTTCTGGAACAGGTCTCACCTTCATGCTGCAGGAAAAGTATCAGACTCCCCGATCACCTGGAAAACTCCCAGGTATCCTTCAAAACCCTGCCCAGTTGTCACCCTCTCTGCAAAGCCCTTCCTGCTCCTCCTAGACAGAATTAATCCCTCTCTCCCAAGGCTACTCTGTATTCTGTACTTCTTCCATTGCTTGAATCACGTTGAACGCTTATAAACCTACTCTTCTAGGAGCTCCTCACAGGAACAGGTCATACTTATTCTAAGACTCAGAAAATATCTGTCGAGAGTCATGCCCCAGTGTGTTCTGGGAGTAGCCACTATTTCCCCCACTCAAGTCCCCAACTCCTATCTTTAAACCATCCTCTACAAATCTAAAAGCAATAATAATAATTTATTACTGCTACAATAAACAATAACGTGTTATTGGGTATTACTTATTACATTCCTAATATGTGCCAGGAATTGTTTCGGGTGTTGTAGAGGCATTATCTCATAACATAGCGAAGTAAATAATCTTTATTTTGTAGAAGAGGAAATAGGCACAGGGAGTTAAGTTGCTCAAGGCCTCGCATCCGTTCATTCAGATGTTTATGGGCTACATCCTGTGTCCACAGAGTAGCTGGTGAGAGTCAAGGCTGAGATTTGAACTCAGATCTGCCAAACTCTGAATCTCCCCAGTGCTTTTATCCCATGTGGCTTCTGAATCTCCCCTACAAACTCCAGTGTGTATAATGGGGGGAGTCAGGGCCCTGAGGGATGCCAATTTAGTATGTCTGGGCCAGGGCCTGGGAATCTGCATGCTTAGCGGACTCACAGGTGATTCTGATGCAGGTGGTCTACAACCACATTTTGAGAAGCTCTGGTCTGCTTGACAGAGGACAATGTAGGGCCAATTCTTGCTGATATTAAGGGCACCTGTCAGCCCAACAGAGAGTGCCATGTGTTAGTGTCAATCAGTTTAATGGAGCCAAAAGAATGACTGGGAACAACCCCTCCGCCTCCAGTCAGGTAAGGCATCACCAAATCCAAATTGCAGTCATAATACATCATTCTCCTGGTATGATGACAACCCATGAATCACTAAGCATCTTAGGCAGGGGGCCCAGAAACCCATATGTCTAAACCTGGGACCCCAAAAGGCTCAATGAAGTCCCAGGAAGTCTAGGAGGGGCAATGTCACATCCCAGCGATAGTGAGGCCATAGGTTGGGGCTAAACCACTGAGAGCTGCCCAGGTGCAGTGGTGCTCTTGGGCCACCATGCCCAGTGCAAGTCAACCTGTGATGTGTCTACCACCCTCACTGCTCATTCTGCACCTGGCATGCCCATCTCCTTCCCTCTGAACACCACTCTTCTCCCACCTCCAATTTAGGGCATACCTCCATCAAGGCTGCGGGACATGGTGTACCGTTTGCTGGAGGAACGCTCGAAGAAGGGAGCGGGCCGGTCGATGAGGGCGCTGGCCTGGCGGGTCTGTGCCTGGGTCCTCCCACTATACCGGAACTTGGAGCCCATCACCAGGAAGCCCTTGGGTGGGGGCTCGGGGGACACGAGCCTGCAGTGGAGGGATGGAGGTGAGGAGGGGGGATCATACCTGCTTTTCCAGGTCCAAGGCTGGACCACAGCTGGCCTTTCATCCCACTGTCCCACCAGCTACACTCTGTGGTCCAGGAGGGGAAAGAGGAGGGAGGTCTTTCCTATGATCCTTACTACCTTCTCCTCCTGCTCTGCCCTCAAAAAACACAGACATCACCCACACATACACTCACAGCCTCTGTCTCATCCCCAGTTACCCCATCCCCGGGTCTGGCTCACCGGAAGAATGTGTGGTGCTCAATGCAGACCTTCCACAGTCTCTTGGCTGACCGGTGGTTTGGGAGTTTAAAGCCAATTGTGCTCTCGAACTGCTCATACTGCAAAACCAAGGAGGGTGGGTAAGAAGCAAGACCTGGGCCCCTCTCGCCATCAGTCCATCCTTTTGAACCTCTTTTCAGCATGCATGACTCTGGCCTGTTCTTTTATTTATTCACTAGAGACCCAGTGCACAAAATTTGTGCATGGGGGGGGGGGTTCCTTCCTCAGCCCGGCCTGCATCGCCTCACAGTCGGGGACCCCTTGGGAAATTTCCGCCTGCCGACTTAGGCCCAATCTCCCCAGGGATCAGGCCTAAGCCAGCAGTCAGACATCCCTCTCATAGTCCGGGACTCTCACAGTCTAGGACCCCTGGCTCCTTACTGCCCGCCTGCAGCGGAGGCGACCGCCACTGCGCTCGCCAACCATGAGCCAGGCTTCTGGCTGAGCGACGCTCCCCCTGTGGGAGCGCACTGACCACCAGGGGGCAGCATTGAGTGTCTGCCCCCTGGTGGTCAGTGCACATCATAACAACCGGTTGTTCGGCCATTCAGTCGATTTGCATATTAGGGTTTTATTATATAGGATTCGTTTACTCAATAATGTGGACTGAGCCCTTACTCTGTAATCGGTCTAGAGCAAGAGAGACACCATAGTGATCAAGACAGAAGATTCAGGGAGGAGGGGACTTTGATCATAAATAAGTAAACAAGATCATTTCAGATACTGATAAAGTCATGAAGGGACTGGACAGAGGTGTGTGATGTGACAGAATACCTGTGTAGGCGCAGGGGTGGGTACTATTTTAGAAAGGTGATCTGAAGGATGGGGAAGGAACCAGCTATCTGAGAGGGTGGGGAAGAGGATTTCATGTTAGAGGAAGAAAAAGCAAAGGGCTCGTGGCGGGAAGGGCTTGCTTATTCAAGGATTTCAGAGAAGGCCAAAGGGGCTGGAGTGCAGTGGGCATGGGGCAATGTGGGGGAGGCAGGTGGCCACAGACAGAGTGTGGGCTTTAGCCCCAAAGCTAAAAAGAAAGCTCTTGAAACATTTAAGCAAGGACTGGGAATAAGGGGTGAGTTTCACATGCTATGATGGAAGGGACTTCCAAGCTCTCTTCAGCAGCTATGAAGAAAATGGTCTGGAGTGACAGTGGGGCAGGGGAACGAGAAGGATGTGATGGAGACGAAGATGAGAGATGATCGCTGCTGGTAGCTGGTGCAGTGGGGAGGCAAGAAGCAGATGGGTTCATATTTATTCTAGAGTCAGCTGTGGAGGCTGGATGAATACATGTTTGCATGTGTGTAAACATGTCTATATGTATGTGTACGTACTTGAGTATTACATGTAAGCAAATACAGGGACATGGACATGTATTCTATGTATACCGAATGTATGTGATTACCTTTACATGTGTGCTTGTGCATGTGCTCGTGTGTGTGTGTGTGTGTGTGTGTGTGTGTGCAGGACATACCTAAGGTGTGAAATGTCTGAGAAGAGCCCCAGCAGAAGATGGATCTCTCCATACCCAGCACCCCAGCACCACCATCCATGTATCCTGAGTAGGAAAAATCCAGGCCCAGCTACCAGATCCTCTCCATTCTAGTCAATTTGGTGAGGAGGAGGGATTCCCAAGCAGGCTCACCTCCCCAGGCCGGATCTTGATGTAGAAGTTACTCCTCTTGTAGGAGATCTTGAGAATCTTGGGCCAAGCGAAGCGGTTGATCCTCAGTCGGTCCCGGTAGATGAGCAGGCCATTGGCACAGACTCCTAACATAATGTCAATGCCCTCAGAGTCCTGCGTGAGAAGGGACCATGGAACAGCAGGCCTGGTGCCCACGCCTGGGGCAGCCTGCCCCCAACCCCAAGGCCCTCCTGAGCTCTACTTATAAATGAGCCCAAGGAGCAGGTGGACTTGGAGGCTCTGTGCTGGAGTCCCCTGACCATCCCTCACACAGTCATTTAACCATTCACTCCTTCATTTTGTCATTTACCCACCCACTCACTTGTTCTACTATTTTCTTGGTTAATCACTTATTCATCCAGCAAACACTTAATGGTACATATTCGGTGCCAGGCCATGGGCTACACACTAGGCCAGTGGTCGGCAAACTCATTAGTCAACAGAGCCAAATATCAACAGTACAACGACTGAAATTTCTTTTGAGAGCCAAATTTTTTAAACTTAAACTATATAGATAGGTACATTGTTATTAACTTAATTAGGGTGCTCCTAAGGCTTAGGAAGAGCCACACTCAAGGGGCCAAAGAGCCCGCATATGGCTCGCGAGCCGCAGTTTGCCGACCATGGCACTAGGAATACAGAAGTAAATTAAGGCCCTGTATTTCCCTCACAATGCTCCCAATCTAGTGGTGGCACAAACAGGTTCAAAGATAAACATAATACAAGGAAAAAATGATAAGGGTCATGGAAGAATAAAGGGTCATGGAACTTTGAGGCTTCAGGTTGGCAGGAACGCAGGGCCTGGCACACCAAGCCCCCCAGAAGAACATCATAGTTCAATGGGGACCCCCAGATGCTAGGGGGCCCTGCGACCCAGCGGTACCTTGGCATGGTGCAGGTCTACTCCGTACATGGAAAGCTTCTTGGCGTTCTCCAGGAAGTGGATTTCTGCTTCTCCTGGGGTCATGCCCCTAATGGAAAGAAAGGGATCACACCACAGGTGGCCATGGGAAAGGCCCGGCCTGAGCCCTGCTGCCTGAAGGTGGCCACAGTCAGAACCTGTGATTCTAGGAAGGCAAATGTTCTGGAGTGGGTGTATGGCTAGACTTCCCCTCTGCTCTCAACGCAGGATGGTGCACCCCAGACCCCTCGTCAGTCTACCCAACCCCCATCTCCTGCCAAAGCTCAAGTCCAATCTTGTTTCCTTCAGGAAGCATTCAAGGGCTGGGCCGGGAGTCAGGATTTTTGTCTCATTCTGCCACTGAGTGAAGTGTGAGCCATAAGTCCTGCTTCTCCATGACCATGAAGCCATTGTGGATGGCTGTCCATTATAATCACCCAGGGACTCCGGAATCACTGCCCACATAAGATATTTATCTTATATACAGGATTTGGAGTCAAAAAGGCCTGATTATGAGTCCTGATTATAGCATTTAGTGAGTAGGAGACATGTATTATGCCTTCCTGACATCTCATAGTATCTTTCACAATTCTAAATATATAGTAAATATTCATTAAATTTAAATATATATATATGTGTGTGTGTGTGTATATGTATATATGTATGTATATGTATGTATATGTGTGTGTATGTGTGTGTGTGTGTGTGTGTGTGTGTGTGTGTGTGTATTAGAACATTATATCAGAAACCACTTAACCTCCCCCGAGGAACAGGTGCCCTTTTTCCTTTCTGAAAAGAAGTTATCCAAGTTCCTTCTTTGCTTTGACCGCCAGGAAACCATACATTTTACTCAGTCACAGCTAACATTTATTGAGGACTGCGTGAGGTTACTGTTCCAAGCACTTTGCATGTCTGACGTTATTGAATCTTTAAAATAATTCTATAAATAGGTATTATCATTTTTCCCATTTTACAGCTGAGGAAGCTGTGGCACAGAGAGGTTGAATAACTTGCCTAAGGACACACAGCTACTAAGTAGCAAAGTCAGGATTTGAATCCAGACAATGTGGGTCCAGAGTCTGTGTCCCTAACTATTACATTTACATCTGTCTCATATCCTCCAGGCCTGTTTCCTCTGCTCTGTCCCCCTCAGTGAGGTACTGTGTGGAATACCTGGACAGCAGATGTCAATGTGCTCTCGGTCGAAAGAGCTGGAAAGGGATGGCCATCAGCATTTTGATCTAAACTTGCTGCATATTGATCTAAACTTCTTTCTCTGAATCACAGTCAGACCTTGAAGATATTGCAGGTTCACTTCCAGGCCACCAGAATGAAACCAGTATCACAGAAAAGCAAGCCACACAAATTTGTCGGGTTCCCAGTATGTTTATACTATACTGTAGTCTATTAAGTGTGCAATAGTATTGTGTATAAAAAATAGACACAGCTTAATTTTAAAATACTGTATTGCTAAAAAAAAAATGCTGTTATCTGAGCCTTTAGCAACTCGTAATCCTTTTGCTGGTGGAGGGTCTTACCTTCAATTTATAAAAAACTCAGTATCTGTGAAGTGCAATCAAACAAGGCATGCCTGTATTCTGACTTTTGCAGATCCCTAACACATCCTAATACCTACAACAGGAATGACAAAGAGATGGTAGGCAGGCCATCACTCCCTATTCCCGAGCCAGGCAGACACTGCTAACCCATCATATGGTTTCGGTATCCTACTCAACACAATACAGCAACAGCCATTGCTAACCAATCAGAGTTGTGTGCAAATCTCAGAAAGACACATCTGCCACCCTGATGCAGCATTCCATCACACCCCAGCAGGCTTTCTTCCCCACATACAGGATCCCTCCACGTCTGGCCCTGGACCTCCTCTCCTGATTCAGCCCCAGGACACAGCCCTCCTCCTTCCCTCCATCCTTATTAGCAATGAGAAAACATCACCATACCTGCTCCCACGGGCACAGCACTGTACAGTTTATAACGCACTTTCACATTCTTTACCACACTGGGTTCCCAGAACAATCCTGGCCTGGAGCCCAAAGCTCTTCCAACTTGACAGGACCCTAGAGACCATTCATTTTCAGGGGTTCCTCCCAGGGGATGGTACCACCCTCACAGTGGGCATTTGGAAATGAAACGGAACATTTGGGTTGTACAATGACTGAGGGGTTGATAAGAGCATTTAATAGCTGGGTCCCAGGAATGTCAAACATCTTCCAGAATGAATTCTCCTACTCCAAAGACCAATAGTTGAGAAACACTGGTAATCTAGGTCTGTACAAATACAGGTAAAGAATGAGGTTGAGCCCGGCCAGCGTGGTTCAGTGGTTGAGCATCGACCTGTGGACTCAAGGGTCCCGAGTTCGGTTTCCGGTCAGGGCACATGCCCAGGTTGCGGGCTCGATCCCCAGTAGGGGGCGTGTAGGAGGCAACTGATCCATGACTCTCTCTTATGGATGTTTCTCTCTCTCTCTCTCCCTCTCCCTTCCTCTCTCTCTAAACAAATCAATAATTTAAAAAAAAAAGAATGAGGTTGATAGATTAAATAGCCAGCCCACAACCACACATCTAGCTAATCATCTAACTTCTGCAACAAAGTGCTTTCCTCTGCACAACTATTCAAGCCTTCAAATCACAGAGAGCACATGGTGGATCTTTATTATGTGCCACTCAGTCCTCCCAGCAACCCTCCCAGCAGGTTTCATTAGCGCCCACACTGAACGGAGGAGGACATTAAAGCAGAGGTAAGTGAAATGACAGGGCTGAGATCCCCTTGTGTGAAAGTGGCAGAGCCAGCAGGTGAACACAGGCAGCCCGGCTGTAGAGTGCAAGCTTGTGAACTTCATGCCACAATCAGACTTCAGGACACTTACTCAGGGACACATAATAGTTACTATTATCTCCAGTTGACAGATAAGGAAACTGATTCTCAGAAACCAAGGACAGGGAATCATCACACTTAGACAGGAGCTTAGAATCTGTGGTCCCAAGAGGTCATTTAAGGTTACACAGCTAGCTACTATCATTCTCATTTGATGAGATGATTTGCCCTCAGATTTGCACCTCAAATTAGCAGCAGAGTCAGGTAGAGTACTTACAGCACTGCATCTGGGGTGTAGCAGGGACAGTTCTATGAGCCAGGGAAGGCCCTGGGCGTAGGCCCTCTCACCTGTATGTCTTGTGCAGCTCCATGATCCTCTCCTCCAGCTCTCGGGTCTGGTTAGGGGCGAAGCGGAGCTCGCTGACATAGTTGCCCACATGCTCCTCGGCATCATAGTCGCCCAGCTCCGCCTGCACGGCGTAGGAGCCCAGCAGGGCATGCGTGACGAAGGAGCAGGGCAGCCGGCCTGTGATGATGTCTGCCCGCAGCTGCAGGCACAGGTAATATCTGGAGATAGGGGAGAGTGGGCATGGGCACGGTGCCTCTCCCACCCGAGATGCCCACTGATCCATCAGCACCGACCTAAGCACCCCCCAGCTCAGTAGGAAAGGAATGATCCTCGACACTAGCATTTCATGTGTTGATATTGTGGGTGTGTCTGATGAGAGGGTTTTGTGCCATTTCCTATTTTAAGCGTTTCTGTTCACGTCTAAATTTGAAGGATTTTTCCTACTGTGAGAGCATTTTCAATTTCTAATTCGTTTTCAAGCTCAATGGGACTACGTTGATCACTTTCTGAAAATGTACTGTATTTTTTGTTTATACAGTTAATATATTTTTATTGTGGAAAAATGTAAACTGTAGAGGTGACTCTAAACTTCCTCTTGATGTCCATTTTCAGGACCCCCCTCCACCAGAGGTCACCCCTGTTATCTGTTGTGTTCTTGACTTTTTTCCTCCATGGACACACAGAAGGGCATGTGGTTTTATTCATGAGTGTTGTTAACATGTACATAGTACCAAATGCTACATCTGATTCTACAACTCGCCTTACAGCCCTTCCCAGGTCAGCATATGAGACCTGACCTCATTCATTTTAACGTCTGCATAGCGCGCCCACAGCCTGGACAGACCCATTTGCCAATGTTTTCTCAACACTTTTATTTTGCCTCTAGCGCTAAGTGAATGGTCTAAAAATAAATTGGTTTAAAAGAAACATTTCCAACCACGAGGCCATGATTTTTTATAATTTTTATGCACACTTGGATGCTTTTACAATTTTTAGAGCCGTTTTTTATTGCTTTTTCAGTTATTGCTTATTAAAAAGAATGCTTCAGTCCGGTCTCCACCAGCAATGCCTACTTGCCCACTTTGCTATGTTTCACCATTTTTTCAACTGCCTGTTTTCTTTTAGGTGGCTTTTACTTAAAATAATTTTTACTGCTCATGATGTTATTTTGCAGTCTGAACTGGAGCTCTGGCAGAAAGCACGTACAGCCTCAGTGTGTGCTCAGGGCCCAGGCAGAGGCTCAGAACCAGCAGCAGCTCACACATCACAGGCAGCAAGTGTGGACAGATGGGCGTTTTGGTCAAGTCTAAGATTTCAGAAACCACTGCCAAGCACTCTGATCAATATTTCATTTCAATCCATTTGTCATTTTGACCAGTTTATTTTGGGCCTGAATATTTTTTTTTTACTAAATCACCCCATTCCCTGGGATCATCCAAGCTGGACAAAGCTAGTTTCCCCCCTGGGGGTCACTGGAAGCCTGATGCCCGGGCAGGGACTGGCACAGAGAGGAGAGGCGTCAGTGGGCGAGACCAGGGGATCGGGGCCTGGCCTGGTCTAAAGCTCTCATCCCTCCTGGGAATGGAGGTCAGACACTGATGCTAAATCTTGGCCCCAAGCCGGACCTCAGGGCTAATGAGCCCAAGGCCTCGGGCCAGATCTATTCCAGGGACAACTGTCTTATCTCTCAAGGCCAAAGTCAGCATCTTGACCTTGGCCCATTGCCTGGCAAACAGGCAGCCAACATTATGAAAGAAGGACCCAGTCGGAGGGAGGGGCTGATTCTATAGCCCTTCCCTGCTGAAGGGAAAACTCCAAGCCCACGTCTTATTGTTGGTGGGTCTGTAGGGCCCAGCACATGGATGAGACTCTTAGAAGAAGCTTAGAAAAGGGAAAGGCCTCTCACTGTTCTCATCTTGAAAGATGCTTTGCCCCCCCTTTCAATCTTCAAGCCACAATGAGACTACACATGCAATCCATGTGTACCCATGCAGTCCAGGCTGCCTCCATGGGGATTGTCACATGCTTCATTTGACCCCCACATGCCTGACATGTGCACAGGACAAAACTCCCGCATGGGAAGGATCTGCACTCTACTCCCTCTTTATCCCCAAAGTTGAAAGCTGGTGGTCCACCCAGCACATCAGATCTTCAGATGTGTTTGGCTGGTCCTACCCAAGGACGTCCCACACCACGTTTTAAAAAATATTTAAATTCGTTTCCAACGTTTAAAAATTGTGAGGTTTTTACTTTCAGATTGGGCCCAATTCTCATAAGGCCGTGATTCCCCAAGCTCAACAGCAACTGTCTTAGATGGCGTCTGTCCTCTTGGATTCACATCGGTCCCCACTGCTCCCTGTGACACCTCTCCCTCTGAAGTGAAGGGTCACCTGCCACTGACCATTATGTTTGCATCCCTTTCTCTTGCACTGAGTCATCTTCCTTTATGATGGTGTCTGCCTGGCCTAGGTAGGCATCTGAGGTTGCAACTGCCATCACATACCACCCTGCGTCTCCCCCAGCCAGCATACCTGCCACCTCCCTCCACAGCCCTCACCTTGTGATATCTTCTGTCAGCTGGGCAGGGTCAGGGGGGTAGAACTTGACTGTGAAGGCAAAATTCCAGGGGCTGCCTGAAAGAAGATGGGGCAGAGATCAGAGAGGCGCCATTACCCAGTGGGTGGCCCAGACAAACCATCCTATCAGCAATTTTCACAGTCGTCTCATATGTATAATCTCAGGACAATCTAATCAGAGAATCTGGAACATTGTTCCCAATTGACAGATGAGAGGACTGAGGCCCAGGTTAAGAGACTTATTGTAAACTAGCAGTGGGAAGAAAGGTAGAAAGAAAGAACACCAGTTGTGCACCCATTAATTATTTTACAAACACTGCTTCATTATATCTTGCAACAACCCTATGAGTAAGTCTGATGATTGTCCCCATTTTGCAAATGAGGACACTGAGGCTCAGGCAGTAAAGTTGTCAGCCCAAGGTCACCCAGCGAGAAAGGGCGATGCTGGGTTTCAGACCAGGCCCACCTGGCTCCAGAGCTCGTGCCCCTTCCTTTTCAGGAAAGTCTAGGCGACAGGATGTTAATGGGAAGAAAGGAAGTCTAAAAGCACCACATTAAACAGGTTTTCTAACTTTAGACTTCGCAGAGCCCTCACTCTGCCATTATAAATTGTACCTCTCTAGAGGAGACAAGCATTCAAGACTTCCCAAAACTTATCTGACCTGCTGTATCCATTTTTTATAAGGCAGATTAATGTTCCCTGAAACACACTGAAAAACTCTGCCCTATCTCACTTTAACTCTATCTCAAATGACAGAATTGGATTATAAACAAGACCTAAAAGGCAAATACGATGGGCGAAAAGTAACAAAGGTCATTTCACAGGGATAAATGTTAACCTCCACATTGAGATATGAAAAATTAATGGGACATCTATAGAAGGCAGACAGAAATAAAGGCTGAGGTTTTAGCTGGAAACTAGCTCAGTAAGCCAAGAGAAGGGATGACCACTTAAGAAAGGAAGAGAGGTTGGTGGTGGGAGGGGCGGGGGCAGGAGGGAGAGGGGACCGGGAAAGAAATAGCGAGGAGGTGTTGATGAAAGGCTACAATCCAGAACAATGGTTAGACCACCCCTGAGACATTTGGGGTTCCATGCTCTAAAAAGGCCCGACAAAGTGAGAAAGTGAGGCCCATCCAGGACAGGGCAGTAGTCATGACGACTGGAGGCCATGCTGTCACTACCATCCTCATCATCATCCTCTTCACCTTTTAGCTGTCATGTCTCCAACACTTACTAAGCTCTGGTCACTTGGTTTGCTACATGTTACAGGCATGTATAAGCAGTGGTTCTCAACCTTCTGGCCCTTTAAATACAGTTCCTCATGTTGTGACCCAACCATAAAATTATTTTCGTTGCTACTTCATAACTGTAATGTTGCTACTGTTATGAATCGTAATGTAAATATCTGATATGCAGGATGGTCTTAGGCGACCGCTGTGAAAGGGTCGTTTGACCGCCAAAGGGCTCGCGACCCACAGGTTGAGAACTGCTGATGAATAGGAATTTAATCTTCATAATGATCCTGAGGTTGACTTTCCTTCCTATAGATGAAGATTTTGAGAGATGTGCTCACTTCGGCAGCACATATACTAAAGATTTTGAGAGGTTAAGTAACTCTCCCAGGGTCACTCAGCTGGTCAGCAGTAGAAAACAGAGGCCTAGCCCGGCCGGTGTGGCTCATTGGTTGAGCGTCAACTCATGTCACAGGTTTGATTCCCAGTCAGGGCATATGCCTGGGTTGTGGGTTGTGGGTTCGATCCCCAGCAGGGGGCATGCAGGAAGCAGCCAATCGATATTGAAGTTTTTCTCTCATCAATGTTTCTCTCTCTCTCTCTCTCTCGCTAAAAACCAATAAAAACATTTTTAAAAAAGAAAACAGGGATCTAACCTTGGGTCATCTGACCTCAGAATCCAGGCTCCTGACCACAGCTGGCTCCTTGGCAAAAGAATACTCAAGGGGAGCCCTGGCCAGTGTGGCTTAATTGGATGGGCATCATCCCAGGCACGGAAAGGTTGTCAGTTCAACTCCTGTTCAAGGCACATGCTTAGGTTGAAGACACAATCCCCGGTGCAAGAAGCAGCCGATCATGTTTCTCTCTCTCACTGATGTTTCTCTCTCTCTCTCCCTCTTCTTTTCTCTCTCTCTAAATATCAATAAAATTATTTTTTTAAAAAAATAAAGAAAGAAGCCTTAAGGGGAAATAGTCTCTGCCTCAGAAATAATAATAATGATAATAGTAACTAATACATACTGGGTGCTACTTGTGCAGGTACCATTTTAGGTGTTGTGTACCTAATAACTCGTTTAATCCTCACAACAACCCTAAAGGTACATACTATCATCATTCCCACTTGACAGATGAGGAAACCGAGACAAAAAACAATACAGGAAGTAGTGATGGAGTCAGAAATCAAATCCAGGCAGTCTAGCCTCATTTGTTCTCCTTTTAAGCACCACACCACACTGCCTCAGAGAAGGCCCTGCTAGGCGGCAGGTACCTTCCACACATATGTTATTTAATGGTCACCTCCACCAGGGGAGGTAGGAGTCATTAATCTGCTTGCCAAGGAGAAGCAGGAGCCCAGAGGGCTGGAGGAACTGCCCCCAGTGCCCTCGGTGATGGGCACAGAGATTTGAGAGGAAATATACCCAACTCCGAAGCCCAAGATAAGGACTTGTGCCACCTTCAGAAGGCTGGGCGGGGGAGGGCTGTCTTAAAGAAAGAGCGTAAAAAATTGCTCCCTGGGGTCCCAGAACATGAAACTCGAATGAATGGGTGGAAGTTACATGGGTAGGGGAGAGACTGTGGCTTTATACAGGAGGCAGCACTGCTCCGATGATGACACGAGGGCACTGACCCTGCCGGGGGGAGGGAGCTGGGACCCACAATGGCCAGCGCTTCTCTTTTCCAAGCTTTGGGTCCTTCTCAGACACTGCTCACTGTACTTGTTCTGATTCTTTCACGCAGGAGAGCCAGGCCAACCAGCCAGGCTGGGGCTCCTGGGGACAGCCTCAGCCCAGGCCTAAGGCCCATCGGCTCCAGAGGAGCATGCTCTGTCTGTGTGCCTCTCTCTTTGTCTACAACTGACAGCAGCTTACAGGAAGAATTCCTCAAGCCCCCTCCCACAGAGTCAGCTGGCATCCCTGGGCCCAGCTGCCTGCTGTCATAGCAACAGGCTTCGCTAGAGCCTTCTAGCCCAGGGACCAGAAAGTCCAAGCAAGGGGGAGGGTTGTCTAGGCTCTAGGTCTCCGCCTATTGCATGGCCCCTCTCTGAGGCCACCTACCGCCTCCTTCTGCTATCTGAGCCCCACCCCTCCCAACATAAAGCACAGGTTGTCAGCCTGCTCATTGGTCTTTGCCCCAGACCTCAGAAGAGTGCAGGATGGTGTTGGGAGGCCAGGGCTGAAGACCTGGCTCAGCCAATACCTTGCTCTGTGACCTTGAGCAAATAGCTGCCTCTCTTTGGGCCTCAGTCACCCATTGTTAAATACAGGAGATGCCACGATCAGGGAAGGGCCTAGACTTCTGACATATTAACTCCTGTCAGATGGCAGTGGCCATGAGTGCTGTGTGGGCAAGGATTCTGAGCTGAGTCAGGGGTCACTGATCACTGAAGCCTTCACCAGCCCTGGAGAGGAGGGGGGCTGTTTTCAGGTCATTAGTTTGCCCCCTGGTCCTAGATGACTCTGCAAGTCCCTTCTAGTGCTGACATCCTGAGGGCATCTGTGATCCCTCTGCTAACCTACTGTGTGACTCTAGACCAGAAATTTTCTTTTTCTTTTTCTTTTTTAAAAAATCTATCTTTATTGATTTCAGAGAGGAAGGGAGAGGGAGAGAGATAGAAACATTAATGATGAGAGAGATTATCGGCTCCTCCTGCACGATTGGGGATCAAGCCCGGGAATCGAACCATGACCTCCTGGTTCGTAGTTCGACACTCAACCACTGAGCCACCACAGCCGGGCTAGAACAGCGATTTTCAACTGGTATGCCACAGTAGGCACATTGTGTGCCACAGAAAATTTTAAAACATGCAATAACTATTTAGTCACGGACACTGACCTCTTTTCCCTTAGATTGTAAATTTAAAAATGACAACAGCAGCCTCACTGAATATGGCTTAGTGGGTTGGAGCGTTGTCCCGTACACCAAAAGATTCCAGGTTCGATTCCAGATCAGGTTACACACCTAGGTTTTAGGTTCAATCCCTGGTCAGGGTGTGTACAGGAGGCAACTGGTCTCTCTCTCTCTCTCTCTCCCCCTTCCTCTCTCTCTAAAATCAATAAACATGTCTTCAGGTGAGGATTTAAAAAACAACAAAAAACAACAGCCAATACAAGAATAGTCATCTGGTGTGAATGAATCAAAATTATACCTATTTAACCAAACTGAGCCCTGGCTGGTGTGGCTCAACTGGTTGCACATCATCCTGTGCACCTAAAGGTTGCTGGTTCAATCCCGCAGGGCACATACAGGGGTTGCGGGCTTGATCCCTCGCAGAGGATGTGCAGGAGGCAGCTGATTGATGTTTCTCTCTCGCTCCCTCTCCCTTCCTCTCTCTAAAAATCAATGGGGGGGAAAAAAACTAACCAAAATTATACCTTTTTTTTTTGTCAGATCAGTAAAAATATATATTTTTTGGTGTACCACAGAATTTTAGTAATTAGTTTATGTGTGCCATGAAATGAAAAGGATTGAAAATCACTGCACAGTCATTTCTCTTATCTAGGCCTCAGGCTCCTCATCTATAAAACCATGCCCTGCCTTCCCCAGGATCTTCCATGGAGCAAATGAACTCAAGGATCTGAATACACTTCCCAAAGTAGGACAGAGCAGCACAACTGCGGCCCCACTGCCTGGAGCCCTGCCCACCCTTCCACCGCATTCCCAACCACAGCCGGCCACTCACTCCGGATCTGCTTCTTGATTTCCTTGGAGGGGTCCAGCCAGTTCTGCAAGAGAAAACAGAGTTCATTAGAGGGAAGATACAGAAGAGGACCCAGATAGGTCCAGGAGAGAGCAACATCCTGAAATAGCCCCCCTGACAGACCCTGGCGGGAGCACCCTTCCCTGGCTGAGCTTTCTGGGCCCTTTTCCTTGGGACTGGGAGGTAAGGGAATAAGGCCTGGATTCACCACAGAGCCTGGGACTCAGGGCCCTGGGGTGGCATTGCCCTGAGGCAGCACAGTGAACAGGTAATACAGCTGCGGTGAGACTGGTGGGAGGAAGAAACTAGGAGCCTCCCAAGGGTGGGGGAAGTGCCTCAGTTCCCCCAGGAAGCCATGGCTGGTTCTCCAGATACCCATCTGGGGTGGCATTCAGGTCCCCAAGAAAGGACTGGGGGATGGAGTGGACACAGAGAACAGAAGTGCCTCATGAAGATCTGATGGAAGCCATGGGATACCACCAGGACTGTGGGGGCCATAGAAGAAGCCTCCCCCACAGCAGGCCTCCCCTGCCAGCCCTGCTCCCCAGCCCAGGTACCTTCTGGCTGTCAGCATCACAGAAGGTCAGGCCAAAGTAGTCCTTCTCCAGGAGGTTGAGGTGCTCACAGACGAGGTCAAACAGCACCTGGCCCCGGCCGTGTTTCTGAAGCAGAGAGCAAAGCTTCTGTGAGGCCAGAATCACTTCCAGGTGGGGCAGGGGGAGACCTCTGACTCCACCAGAACAACGTGCAAACCCCCAAGCGCCTTCCAGCATCTGGAGACATGTCAGCACTCCTGCCACCCACCTGGCTCTGAATCTAACGCCCTGGTCATCAAGTGCCTTCTTCCAAGCCTTCCCAGACCTTAGACCTGCTCAGGGGGTGGGGAGGGAGTTGGGAGTCAGGGGCCGGGGGGGTGGTGGTGTTGACTGATTTCTCCTTCCTTACAGGGATTAAGAGAAGGAGGCTAACTTGGACCCAAGGAACAGAGAATGAAAAGTCTAAGCTTTGGGTGTGAGAAGGAAAGAAGAGTCACCTGAAATATGAGGGACATGGACAGTGGGGAAGGGGAGAGCCCAGGACTCAGGGTCACAGTGTGACTCACCCTCCCCAGCCCTTCCCCTTACACTAAGTCTGAGTGAAATCCTACCTGGGCAGCAAATGAGTTTTTATAGGGGCTCATGGGGCCTAAATCAGCCTCAGCTAGAAGCAGCCTGATGGAGCCACCTTTCTGTCCCACCCCCATTCAACCAGGCTTGGTACCTCTCTGAACACCATCTGGGCCTGAAAATGCACAAGGACAAATCCCAGAACCTGGCTCGGTACCCTAAACCCACAGGGGTGAGGATGAGCACCAATACAGGGCAGGGGGAGTGAGAAGCAGTTACTACTCAGAGAGGCAGGGACCTCCAGAGAGAGGGTGAGGCCCTGCGAGGTCTGGCTAGGTCAGAGGGGCTGAGACCAGGCCTGACTATGGACAGCAGCTTCGGGAAGCCAAGAGATTCCTGAGCTTAGAGGAGTGCTTCAGAGAGCGTGGACTGGCCTCAGCCAAACTCTACACTCTTCTAGGGCAGGACGAAACTGCCTGTTGGGGCCAGTGTGGGTAAGAGAGAAGAGGTAGAAGATATCCCTTTATTTTGCCCAGAAGTAGGCCAGATGCTTATTCTGAAACCCTTCTATAGAAGTAATAAATATTTTAAAAACAAAACAAAAACCCAACCCTGCAAAAAAGAGGGACCCAGCCTCCCAGGGCTCAGAAGTAAGTCATGCCCCTTAAGATCAGGGCAGGAGGGAGGAAGGAAGGTGGCTCCTATAACTCTCAGCAGTAAGGCCACCCTCTGGACTCTCCGTTCGTGCAGAGGGCCAGGAATGGAGCCTAGGCTAGGGAAGAACCTCTAAGGGGGCGAGTGACAGTTCCGAATTTAGGCAGGATTCTGAGTCTATATAGGAAAAGAGAGACGCTAAATGTGAGGCCAGAAGGGCTGACCCCAGAGAGGAGGGGTCTGCCCTGCCACCCAGTGTGGGACAGGACCACGCCACAGGGTTTCTACACGGCCTGGGGGAGTGTGTCTTTCCAATGGGCCACCTCCCTACACCTGGGGGTCACCCTTACCATGGAACCCTCAAGTGACCAGTTTGTCCTAGAGACTAGACGTAGTATCCTGGGCAGGGGGTTTCACAAGGGAGGACCCCTCTCTCCACCCAATAAAAATGATTGAAATAAAACAGTGTCTGCTGGGTTACAGTGAAGAGATTGGGCTGCAGATCAGCCCTTGGATGGTGGCTTCTTGCCAAAGTACAGCCACCCTGAGAAACCTTTTCCTGGTGCCAGCCTGGTGCCTCGTCTAATTCTATTTGCAATCAAAACAGGCATCTCCGGGCCTGGATGCCACCATCTGTACAAAGGGCTGGCCAGGTCATCTCTCTGGGACACTCCAGTCAGTCCAGGACTCCACAACGAATGGATGCCCTCTGGCTTGGCCCAGGCTGAGTGCACACAGAAGCCTGCTCTGCTCTGAGGCCAGCTGGCTGCGGGTGGGGCATGTGGCACTGGGTGGTCCCTACCTCCACCTCACACTCATACTCAGAGGCATCGAGCAGAGTGACTCGGCAGATAGCACTCTTGTATTTCTTGGCAATCTTCTGGGGCGATTTCTGGGCCCTGCTGGGCGTGGTCCTCTCTGACAGGCCATCAGCCTCCCCGTTGTCCTTCTCGTCCATGTCTAGGCTCTGTAGGTCCAACCAGGAGAAGAGTTTGGTCAGCGAGCTTGAAGTCATAGCCTTTCACCCAAATGAGCTGCAACAAGGAGGCAGCTGGGGCTGTGATGGACCCCAAAACGAGAGCCACTGCCATCTAAGGCCCCTGGGGTCACCAGAGTCTGTGGTGGGTAGTGCAGGAGGAGAGCCAGAGATTCCATGTGCAACAGGGTGACTCAGCGAGGGGTCCTCTGCTTTCCCGCAGGATCCTGCTGCTGTGGCAGCCTCTGTAGGCGGGAGCCTCCCACAAAACCACCCCCGGTGGCCAGAGCTGTCCTGTCTCCCCTGAATAGTGCGTGAGTTATAAGAATATCCATCTGGTCTCCTCCTTCCTCGTCTGTCACTGGGTCTAGCATGAGGTTTGGGACTTGTGGACTAATTTAATGGAGGGAAGGGAGGCTGAGCCCTGCCCTCTTGTCCTAACTCTACCACTGACACCCTCACTGACCTTGGCCAAGTCCCTGCCCTTTCTGGGCCTATCGTGATTTAAGGAAGGAGTGAAGTCAATGACTAGGTGATTCCTTGAGTCCCTTGTAGCTTCAGGGTGATAAATTTGGGGCCACCCTGGGCTGGCGAAGCTAGAATGGACAGGCTCAGGGGGTAGGAAATGCGGTTGAAAGAACATGTGTTTTTGACACCAGATCTAGACTCAACTTCCACATCTGTCACTTTATAGCAATGTGACTTTGGGTAACTCACTTTATCCTGCTGAGCCTCAATTTCCCCCAGTGTAAAACGGGAAATTAATAGCTACTCTCTTAGGTGTGGGAGAATTAAATATAAAAACGACACTGTGCTCAGCATGTAACTGGTCAGTAATAAATCTTCATTTCCTCCTCTCCTCCTTCCTAAGCACTTGCCCCAGAGGACAGGCTGGGCAGGAAGAGGGATGCCCATGCTCTCGGGCACACACCTGTTCAGCAGGCCGAGTCTCCTGCTGGGGCGGTTGCTTTTCATTGGAGTTGGCCTCTGGGTGGCCGTGGCCTGCAGGGGTCACTGGGGTGGTCACAGCAGCAGCAGCGGCGGCCTCAGGCTGCTGTGGGGCCTCTTCCTGAGCCTTCTTCACCTCAGAATCCGGGCCTGTCTCTGTTGTCATGGTGACCAGCACGCCTGCATCGGCATGAAGAAGAACATGTGAGGACGGGGAAAGGGGCAGCGATAGTATGACATAACAGAGTGAGCGGGGCAGGAACCACATGCAGAGAGAGACAGATGGAGACAAATGGATAAAGAGCCACAGAGAGAGGGAGGAGGGGGGAGGGACAGGAAGTAGGGATGGGGAGAGAGTCATGAGAAGTGAGGGGTTAGTGGGGACAACCGAGGTCACAGACTCCTCCCTCCCAACCTTTTGTACAAACAGCTCTTCAGGGACTCTGATATCTTGTCCCAGGTCTGGAATGTGGACCCTTCCTAGGGACGATGTGAGTCTCTCTAGGGAGCCCCACTCTGCCCAGAGCACAAGGCAGGACCTCAGCTAGGCTGTCTGTCCAACAACAGCAGGCTGAGCGCCCCACTAGGTTACTGGCACACAGTAACCCCTCACTAAAGGCTGGATAAACTGAACTCAATCAAAAGAGCCCTAGGCTCCAGACCCTCCCAGCGCTGACTGTGGGCGAGGCTCTTCATGCACCAAGCCTTGTCAATAATTCCTGCCCCATTGACATCACAGGGATGTTGTTAGGATGGATCTAAAGGGTAAGACAGAAAGGCATTCTTAACAAACGCATAGCCCTGCCGATGTAAGAGTCAGAAAAACTGGGTTCAGGCCCAGGTTGGCCACAAATGGGGTATTCAGTTTACCTCTCTAGGACTCACTCAAAAAAGCAAGGGACTTAGAGAAATTATCTATTATATAAATTATATATAAATTAGCTATTCTTATCCTTTTCTTCTTGGAGCAAGAAATGAGATTTTAGAGAATCAAGGACTTATTGCCCAGGTATTCTGTGAAATAAGCACACTGCCAAGACAGAAAAGGAGAGAGAATGGCATGGTTCCACTTTATATTTAAAAAACAAAACAACAACCTCAACAATACATCATTGTGTTTGTGTACTTGTAGTAAAAGATCGAAAAGATCAATCAGCAAACTGTTAAGAGAGGTTAATAATTTTAAATATACTGTTTTTTTAACTCACATTGGGTGTTTTGCAAAAGTACCTATTCTGACTCCAATCAGTCTATTCTCAAAGAAAAGTTTGGAACTAAAACCAGGGAACAGAGATATGGGCAGGAACCCTCACCCCTGATGTAGAGCCTTCCTCCAAATACACCTGACGCTTATGTGACACCTAGTGCCAACTCTGTGCCAGGATATAAACGAGAAAGATCGAGACTAGACCTAGCAAATCCCTCCCTGACCCCATCTACCATGGGAGGCCTCTGATGGACAGACAGACAGACAGGTGTTGGATCCACCCTAGGGTTCCTCCCTAACCCCTTCCACTATGAGAGGCCCCTGATGAGCAGGAAGATAGACAGACAGACGCTGCATCTACCCTTCAACATCACAGCTACCTCCAGAGGCACATACCCCTGCCCCACACTTGCTTTTTGCTTTTCAGTTTCTCTCCTTGTGTTCCTGTAGGGCACCAGCTCGGCCCAAACCGAAGGGCCCTGGACAGAAAGACAGGACCCCTGAGCGCCCCACTAGGCCACGGGGGAGCTCTGGGGCCCTGGACAGATCACAAACATCCTCAAACCCCAACGAATGGGTAATGAGTAAAAAGCTTTGTAAGCTGGAGCTCGTAGCACAAATGAGAGGGTTTGTTGTTACTGATGCTGCTATTAAAGTGGAAGATGAGGAGGAAGAGAAGGCCTTGGTCCACAATGCCTCATCCTCGCCCAGAGATGCTTCCCACTTACATCATTACCCTGGGCTTTATGGGATCACTTAAAGCCGTAGGAAAATAAAGGCTCTCTGTCGCTTGGGTGATACCAAGTGCTGACTGTGCAGGACACAAAGCAACAAGAGCTGCTCCAGGGAGCTCACCGCCCAAACAGACCTGCCCGCCTGGCTCGGGATCTCAGCCTGCGCTGGAGGGTGTCGGCCATTATGCTAGATAAGGCCTAGAGGGAAGAACCCTCAACATAAATGCCTACTTAATTTTGCTTTAAAAACACACACAAAAGAACCCACAGACTAATCTGTACGTTTCTGCTGTAAGAAGCAGAATCCACACGACCCTCACGGGCCCAGGCAGCCCAGTGGCCCTGGCGCATCAGCTCCTCCCCTCTGCTTCAGGCTGGCTTCAGCCCACACTCTCTGAACCTTCCCTGGCCTGGTCTTCTTGTGGACAGCCAGGAGAGCAGTCTTAAATAAATACCCCAGTCTTCCGCTGTCCGGGTCTTTAGCAGAGCCTGCTGGCAGAGAAGACCTGGTGCTGGCAGAACCACAGAGGAGGGGCACTGGAAGTCATTCAAGATAATTCCATCTCCTCTCTTTACAGATGATTCCCAGAGAGCGAAAGAGACTTGAGTGACAGTCATTTCCTCAGACAGGTTTTCCCTAACCCTCCCACCCACTCTCCTCCCCACTCAGCCTCCTGATTCCCCAACCCTAGCTGCTTCAAGCAAACCTCAACAGAAGCTCCTCGAAGGAGAAAACACTCAGGTCCAAGGAGGTGGCATAAGCCAGCCATGAGCACTGTGGCCAGGGGCTGGTTAGATAAATGATGGGTCATCCACTTAGAGAGTTTAAAAAAATGACGGAGAATATCTGAATGAAAAAGCATGATACATAACAGTTTGCACAGATGGACCCTATTTTGATTAATATTTATACACAGATACAGAAAACCCAGCAAAGTGTTAACTTTGGTTGTTTTTAGAGAGTACAGATGATTATTTTCTCTTCTTTCTGCTTAACAGAGTTCTCAATTTTTCTACTATACTTGGAGATTTCTTGATTTAAAAGGATTAGAGGTTGCCCAGTCAGTGTGGCTAAATGGTTGAGCATCGACCTATGAACCAGGAGGTCATGGTTGGATTCCCAGTCAGGGGACAAACAGGGGTTGTGGACTCAATCCCCAGTAGGGAGCATGCAGGAGGCAGCCAATCAATGATTCTCTCTCATTATTGATGTTTCTATCTCTCGTTCCATCTCCCTTCCTCTCTCTGAAATCAAGAAAAACATATTTTAAGAAAAGAATTAAAAGTCTTAAAAATAAAATAAATAAAAGCATTAGAGGTTAAAAATAAATTTTTTCAAAGCACATGGTTTGGTATGACAGAATGAGAAGGACAAAAAGTCTGCTCAAACTTTAAAAAGAATTTACTAATTAAAAAAGAAAAATAACATTAAAATTAAAACCTACAGTAAGATTCTTCTTTATTTTACAAGTCCAGGGATAATGGCATGGTTCTCTCACCAGGCCATGGAAAACGAGCCAAGAACCTGGCCGTGGCTTCTGCTACAGCCAGTCACGTGGGCACAGTTCTGCCCAGGCCCAGGCCAGCACAGGCTGACGGAGCCCACTGGCAGCCAGGCTGGCCGGGAACCACAGGGGACCCCGGGGAAGCATGTGCTGGTTCCTACGAAACTCACTGCATGGGAGGAGGATGCTCACCCAGGAAATGGTTAAACACCAGGCATGTGACTTAGATTTGCTAGTGTATGTTTCAGCTCCCAGAAGATTCTGGAGATTTGGTGATAGGGAATGGGAACATGGCCTAGAGTTCTCAAAGAAGGGCTTATAGGGTAGGGAATGGAGGGTGAGGCGGAGTCGGGTTTTGAGAAAAGGGAGAATGTAGACAGGAGACGGCCGGGGGGTGTTTTGGCTGAATCATCATGTGAGCAAATGCCCAGAGATGGGAACAGGTAGTGCTGTGCAGGAAACAGACAGGTGGCCTTGACATCCTGACTCCTCAGAACAAGAAGCCTATAAATGTGAGCTTCAAGCAGCCTGGCAGGAGGAACAGGTGGAGTCAGGAGAAGTGAAGGAGCTGGGGGTGGTGCAGGCAGCCTTGCAGGAGTCAGACGTGTGACTACTGGGAGGGGCAAGGCCCCCATCACTACATGCTGCTTCAGGTCAGGGCAGGCCAGGGTCAGGGACTTCACAGTCATCTCAGGGACCCTTCACAGGGCAGCAGGGCAGGGGAGACCTAGACCCAAAGTCTGGGTCTAGAACTACCTCTATCTGTGTGTGACCTTAAGCAAGTGACTTCACTTCTCTGAGTCTAGGTGGCTTTGTCTGAAAAACAGAAATATGCCTCCTTCCCTCTCAGGGTGGTGATAGAGATTCAGGAAAATAACACCGAGAGAGCGCTTAGCACGGTTTGCACCCAATAAAACGACCCTGAGATGGTCTATAATTACAAGCGGTAATGGGAAGCCACAGTAGGGAGTGGTCTGAGAACCAGGAGTTCAGAAGTACCCACCCAGAATGGATGCAGAAAGACGTTCTAAGAGACACAGGCCAGCAAGGCCTGACTGATGACACTAAATATGAAATCCAATATGCATGGGATTAGCAAGGGGGGACGGGGGTCAGCCAGAGAAGTAAATGCTGACGGTGCCTACACCAGCCCTGTCTGGAGAGTGGAGCCCAGTGAGGCCCAGGAAGCTCATTTGGTGGGTCTGGGGCCAGACTTGCAGGCTGTCAGCATCTAATGCTCTTCAACATTGCAACCACCTGCTGGTCCTCCTCCAGGGGCACTAAGCAGCCTTCCCACACTGTGGCTTTCCATCTGGGTGGCCTTCTGGGAGAGGGCGTCCTAGCCCAGCCAAGGCAATATCCACTTGGCCTGCTGTTGTGCCACTCATTAAAATGAATCGACAGATTTATACATCAGGCCCTCCAACCTGGGTTAGCATGAGTCAGCATCCCTGAGTCCAGGAACTTGGATTTGTCTTTTTCTTTATTCCCACAGCCACTGCTCAGGTGCAAGCTACTCTAACTCATCCTGCATGGCTTCCCCAGCCTCCCCTATGGACTTCCTGTAGCCACTTGGGCCTTCCTAGGGTTTATTCTCCACAGAGGAGCCACAAGGACCTTTTCAAAACTCCAATTGGATGCCCTCTTTAAAACCTCCAATGACTTCCCATCAAAAGAAAACACAAACTCTTTATCAAGGCTACATATGGCCCCTGCATCAGCTTCCACTGCTGC